ACAAACAAATAGAAAGAAAAATGATGTCAAAACTATTTCGTGCTGTGATATTGGGTGCACCCGCCTCGGGCAAGGGAACCATTTCCAAACGCATTGTTGACAAATTTGGCTTCGATCACATCTCACCGGGTGACATTTTGCGTATGAATGTCAAGAACAACACTAAACTGGGTAAAGAGGCCAAAGTTTATATCGATCAGGGTAAATTGGTGCCGGATGATTTGATTATAAAATGTGTCACAAGTCGTTTGCAGGAATCCCATGGTAAATCATGGATGCTGGATGGATTTCCACGTACCCGTGTACAAGCTGAACGTTTGGCAAAGATGCATGCCCTAGATGCTGTGATAAATTTGGAAGTACCCCACGAAGTGATCATCGATCGGGTCAAGGGTCGTTGGTTACATTTGCCCTCGGGCCGTGTCTACAACATTGGTTTCAATGAACCCAAGGTACCCGGTAAAGATGATATCACCGGAGAGGAGTTGGTGCAACGTGATGATGACAAGCCAGAAATTGTGGCTCAACGTCTACAGGTCTATGAGGAAATGATGAAACCTGTTTTGGATTTCTATTACGAAAATAATTTGGTCACCAATTTCAAGGGTAAAACCACCGCCGAAATATGGCCAAAGGTAGAACAATTCCTGGTGGAAAGAACCAAGGCTCTGATGGCAGGAAGACTGTAAAAATCGCCCCCAAACAACTATGTATATCACTAATAACCTAATTGGAATCGTTCCTATGGGAACAAGATCTTTGAACACAAAGTGTTTTCTTGCTTTTTTTTTAAGAATTCAAATTAGTTATAGTTAAGAATGCTTTTTTTAATTATATTACTTTTATAATAACTACAATTAAATTGTAATCTGCAATAATACTTTTAATCCAATAATTGACTAGAAAAAAAAATAAATTTTTAAAACCAAAAGCAAAAATGTAATAACTATTTTTCTTACCCCAACTAGCAAAGACAAGCCAGTAACCCCTTGTTATCATTCAACGACCGACTGGCCAACCAGCCGGCAAACTAAAAGTGAATTTGCTTGCTTTGTGATAAAGCCATTATAATCTTCAGTGGCAACAGCATTGTTAGTGTGTCCCCCTTATTACAAACCACTCAAAAGAAGACAATGTGGCCTTTGATTATAATTTGCCATAAACAATATGTGGGGGGCGAATGATTGTAAGCCAATTTGTCGGTGTGTGTGTGTCTGTGTTTGTTTGTAGGTGTGTCACTGATTTCCCTTGTTTTGCAAAAAATTTATTCAAATATTGTCATTTATATATAGTTTTGAACTTTGCATGTCGTTGGTCTTGTTGATTATGACATATTTTAAGGTGTAGCGCTTTTGGTGGCTCCACTGAGAATTTGCTTGTATTGTGAATGAATGACAAAAACTCCTCTCGCACTCACTCTCTCACACTCTTTTGTTGCTTGGGAGATTACTTAATGAACAGGGTTACCAATGAATGGAAAATGCATTTGAAGGTGGTATTTTTATAAACACCACAAGAAAAATGGAGGAAATATGAAATATATCATTTGCTAGGAACACCTTGAAATATTTGTCGGAAACCCCATAAAATATATATTTTCGGGATCAGCAAAATATTCTAAGTCCATTTAAAAATACCCCACATTATTTGATATAAAAATTTTCAAATTGGAAAATAATTTGTGTCCAGGACGATTGGTTGAAAGTCACCTATCACCTATTTTGGTCTACATTTTCGTATAACCTCCACGTAGCCGCACCTTCCTATATTCGGTATTTTAACCTTAATTTTCCATAGAATTGTACCTCTTGATATTCGTTTTTTAAGGATCTATAGTCACAATTTTGCGCGGAGTAGTTCCAAGAGCCTTTGAGGGGTTTAACATCCTTTGGCAGACAATTTTTTTATATATGTTCACGATTTTCTATAGCACTCAATATAACCGAACCTCCCCATACTCGGTATTTTAAAAACTTTGCCCACATTTTCTCTTGAATTGGTTTAAAAGTTGGTATTTGTACCTCTCGATATTCGTTATTTTAAGGATCTAAGTCACAATTTTGTGCAGAATTGTTCCAAAAGCCTATAAGGGGTCCTACATCCTTTGACAGGCCATTGTTAATATAGGTCCACGTTTTCCTATAGCACTCAATGTAACCGAACCTCCCGATACTCGGTATTTTAACGATTTTAGCCACATTTATGGTATTTGTAGTTGAAAAGTTGGTATTTGTACCTCTGGAATTTCGTTATTTTAAAGATCTAAATCACAATTTTGAGCGAAATTGTTCCAAGACCCCTTAAGGGGTTCTACATCATTTGACAGACCATTGTTTATATAGGTCCACGTTTTCCTATAGTTCCAACCGAACCTTCCAATACTCGGTATTTTAACGATTTTAGGCACATTTTCTATCGGATTTGTTTTTAATTTGCTATTTGTAGCGGTGAAAAGTTTTCTTTATAAGTCCACGTTTTTTCTAAAGCCTCAATATAACTATACCCACCGATATTCGGTATTTTGAGGGTATATGTCACAATTTTGCACGGAATTATTCCAAATTTGGTATTTAGAGTCTGTAAGGGGTTCTAAATTCTGTAGAAGAATATGGTCTATGTAGGTCCACGTTTTCGTATAGGCATCACATAACCGCACCTCCCGATATTTTATATTTTGATGAATTTTATCAACGAAATTGCTTCAAATTCGGTATTTAGAGTTTAAAAGGGGTTTTTTGTCTTCAGTGACAGAAATTTGCCCATATTGCTAACGTTTCCCTATAGCCCCCATACATCGGTACCTTTGGATATTCGTTATTTTAACGATTTTAGCCCCATTTTCTATCGGATTTGTTTAAATGTTAGTATTTAGTCTAGTTCGTAATTGATTCTACCTCTTGTGGCAGAAAATTGTCTATATTGGTCCACGTTTTCCTATAGACCTCTTAAAACGAAGCCTCCCGATATCAGGTAATTTGATTGTTTTAGCCCCCTTAGCAGTAAGTTTTCTATGTATGCTCTCGTTTTGGACAGTTTGACCCCTAGCAAAAAAATATTTAATACGGTTCGCCTTTTTGTTATAGCTCCCATATAACAACACCTCCTGATTTTCGGTAAGACTGAGGTTTCTCTCCGAATTTTCAACCAATTCAGCTGTAATTCTGGGTCCTCCGTGATTAGCTTAGCTCTTGTCGAAAAATAGGTCCACTTTTTGGCATAGCTCCAATATAACTACTTCCTGATTTTCGGTATTTGACCTCGATTTTGCGATAAAATAAGTTATAATCTTATATTTCGGACTTAAATTGGGTAGGTCAACTATACTCGAAAAATATTCCATGTAGGTCCACATTTTGGTATATTCCCAATCTCTTGATCTTCTTGTTTTTTAAAACTTCTTCTAAATATTTGGAGTAAATAAGTTGTAATTCAATATTTTGGGATTTCATTGGGTCCTTTAACTTCAACTTTTTTGTATGGTCTCCGTATTTCTGTACCTTCGGATATTTAGTATTTTTTAAATTTTTGATCCCAATTTCCAAACCGACTCATCTCTACTTTGACATTTCGGATTATGATCGGAAGGCTTGACTTCTTACGAAAAATACCTAATATAAGTCCACTGTTTGTGAGAGCCCCTATATGGCCTGAATTTTGGCATTTTGCAGTTTTGTCCCCAATTTTAATGAGCTGTATTTGTCGTTCCAGCTTCTGATGGGTTACTCCTTGCAAAAATATAAACATTCGTTTTTATAGCGTCATATAACGTTACCATCTGATTTTCGGTGATTTCAGATTTTACGGACCCCCAATTTCCAAACAACTCCCCCTCAAAAAATATTCCATAATTGCTGTGTTCCAAATGCTGCACTAGTTTGTAATTTTTTTTCGATATTATAAGAGAAACATCAGTTATCGTAGTAAAAAGTTGTACATTCCTGTAGTTCTGAAACAGAGCAAATATGGATTATATGCCATGTATTCCATTGGGTGTCACAAATGAAAACGGTATGAATAAATTATCCTTGTCCTTATTTCACAATGTATCCGAGATGGCTTTAGGAAGTTTATTCAGTCACTGAACTTTGCTTTTTGGTTACTTTTGGAGAATGTCAACAGGCTGTCGAAGGTAATTCCAAGCATTTTTTTGGTTTTGAACTGTTTGCATTGTCCCATCTCCGATTTGCTCACAATAACAACTACTAAAGAATACAATATTTACAAAATAAAATAAATTTCATCTTATTCGGCTGTTCTGTTCAATTTTCGGCCAAAAAGATGGCAGCTACACTTTGGGGAAAAAATCCCACACATTTCTTTCTCAAACAGCGGCAACCCTGTATAACCCATTAACGCTCCCACAAAAAAAATCTAATAAGAACAAAATTTACAAACAGGAGAAATCCGTGCAAAATTATATTCCCATTACAGAACCGATACTATTGTTGTTGTTGTTATTGTTGGAATCATTTTTCAAAACTTAATACGGCATAAACTTTGTTAATGATTCCGAACGAGAAAAGATTCATGGCACACACAAAAGGAGTAGCCCAGTCAAGTCAAGGCACAACAAACAAGCAGCAGCAGCAGCACCCAAGACAAATGGAAATGGGCTCGACCAAAATGAAAAATAATAAAAAAAAAACGCAGAAAAAAAACTTCTTTCTTTCGTTCGCTTGCTGGTTCTTTGTTTGCCAACCAGAAGAAGAATTTCAGGCCATAAAACCAATCAAGAGTTGAAACGAAGTCATGTAAACAAACAAAATATTGGCGACCGTAAAGTGAGTGACCACAAGTAGCAGCACCAGCAGCACGATGAACACTCAGCGAATATTATATACAAATTAGCTAGCTCATGTATGGCGAGGCAAGTGATTGACAGATGGATGATTCAAGCAAAGACGACAAAAAGAGGTCCAATGCATTGCAAATACTCATGAAATTACAGATTTTTTTTTTAGTTTCGGGTTTTAATTTTATAAATTGGTCACAGAACTTACCTCTGATTTTGGTACGTTTGGTTAGATTTAGCCATATCTCCCCCTTGATAGTTTGGCCAGCTATGTAAACTTTATCGGGTTTGTCCAAGGTGATACGTAAACGTTCGTTTTCCATGACCGCCAACACCGCTACCGCACTCACTAGGAACAACAACACTTGCTTTGTTTTTCTTTTTCTTCTTCTATTTTGTTGTTGTTGTTATTTTTGTTAACTTGCAATTTAAATTTGCCTTTAAAAAAAAAAAAAACTACTTTATTCCACCAAGCATTTAACAACATCTACTTATTCTATCATTCATTCATTCACTCTCACATTTAGCTGTTTTTTTTTTCTTCTTTTGTTTTTTCTTGTTCACTACATTTATCCAAAAATAAACTTCCTCCTCTTATTTTCTTATTGGTGGATTCTTTGACTTTTTGCTTTTCTTTTCGTTGAGAATGATTTCTTCTAGCGCTGCTGTCATAATTGTCACCTTCCACACTGGCCAGCAGCAGGTTCACTATTTCCACACATCCATTGGGGTAGTGTATTACGATTTCTCTCGTTTAATTGTTGTACATTTATTGCATTTTTCTAAAAAAATAATTAATTTATTAATTAAATAAATATCCTCGCCGTCTTCACTACTAACAGAGTACCACCAACTAAAAAGTCGCCAATGTATTATATATGTGTGTACGAATGGAAATCATTCACAATGGTTGGTATTTTCTTTATGTTGTAAAAAGAGAGCGCAAATGGTGCGAGAGAGAGAGCGAGCTGAATCATGAATGGGGAGAGGAAAAAAGAGCATACAGTGTGGTCCATGTGTTTTGAAAAGAAATACGCGTTTTTAAGGCAAAGTTGGCGTTTTTGGGAACGCGAAAGAAGAATTGATATGTTAATGATTTAGTTTTAATTTAATTTACATAGGTTCCAAATAAAATATCTTTTAAAACCCTTGAAGTAACATTACATAAAATAAAACAAAATAATAATAATAGGAGAAAATCTGGCCTAATAAAGGGAATGCCAGGAAAATTACGGTGCTTTCAACACATTTCATTTAAAAAGCTGCTACTTTTGGGAGTGTACGCATAGAGTTTATACGTTATTTTATTATTATATATTTCAATTTAATATTTAAATAAATTTCCATGGTCTTTCGAAAAGTAAGAAAAAAGTGTGGCCCTATTAAAAGAACGCAAAACTATCAAAACACAGGTGTTTTTAATGGCATCCAAATGGAAATGATATTTTAATAATATTATATGTAAAGAAATACAATTACAATAAAAACACTTGATTTGATATACAAAATAAATATATTTATACCCTACACCACGAAGCTTTCAGGGTATTATGTCTTTGTTTGTAACAGGCATAAGGAAACGAGATATAGGGTAAGTGTGCCTAAGTTCGGCATGTCCCAGTAGTCGGCACTTTTTATTTTTAAGCCCAAATAAATGAAACTATTATAACTAAATATATTTTATTTACTTCAAATATATTGTCAGCTATCTTTGTGAACAATTTTGCTAAGAAAATATGAATTATTCTTGTAAAAATTAAATTTTTGTCTGTGAAGGTCCTCAACAATTCATATTCTTAAGAAAAGTACAATAAAGACGCCGAATCAGTTTATCTAAACAAAAATATTATATTTTAATGAATTAATTTATTATTATTATTAATCATTCTTACAAAAAAATTGGTATGCCGACTGTTGGAAAATGCCATACCGACAATGGGCAAGTGGTGCCGACTACTGGCAAAAAAGCATTGTTTTAATAAAACTACAAATTTATGAAATTTAATAAAAAGTTATTAAAACTTTATTTATTATTGCAAAAACTATACAAAATTTCGAATCTGAATAAATTAACTTTGTAATAATTGAAAAGTTCCAATCAGAATGGTGAGCGATTAAAAACGCGAAAATCCTAAAAGTGCCGACTACTGGTACACTTACCCTACCCATAGTTGCTTTTGATGACCTGCATAGAATCACATTCTGAGTCGATTTATGCATGTCCGTCCGTCCGTCTCCAGGGTTCATCCCAAGTCGCATTTATTGCCCGATTCAGAAGAAATTTTGCACAAATCATTTATATGACCCAGGGACGAACCCTATTGAAATTGGATATAATCGGTCAAAATGTAGGTATAGCTCCCATATATATCTTTATCCGATTTCAAGTTAATTGTGCACCAGATGAGTAATAGAAGCCCGAATTGAAAAAGCGCAAATGCCTCGGCAAATTTAGTAGAAATCGATTCAGGGGAGGATATTCCTCTCACACATTAGTTTCATTGGACTTTAAATTATAACTATAATCACAGGTGGTATGATTTAATTCTCACCAACTCCCCATAAAAACTTTTATTTCTTATGCGAAACTAGACTTTAAGAAGCAAAGGGGCCCGCTAGTCTTTAAGACTTTCTTAGCTGATTTAAAGTGTCTACTGTGGACTTTTAGGCCGGTTTTCTAAACACAGAGAGAAAACGGCATACAGTGTAGTCCATAGCGCTTACATAAAGAAAAACGTCTTTAATATGACGTTTGCGTTTTTAGGAACACGCACAAAGAGTTGATAGTCCGGTACGTAAATTATCAACTTTTCGGGTGAAATTTAACTAAACCAATAACAATTTTATTTAAATAAACATTGTGGAAGAAATATTAAGAGAAAAGCGGTCTCACTAACGAAAAGGCAGGAATAAAGATTACTTTATGTGGCGAAAAAACCGTAATATTCAAACTATCAGGAGAGAAAACTTATACAGTGTAATCCATAGCGCTTTCATAAAAACGCGTTTTTAATACGATGTTTGCGTTTTTAAGAACACTCACGAAGAGTGGATAGCCAAGTACCTAAATGATTAATTTTTTTGGGAAATTTAACTAAACCATTAGCAATTTTATTATTTAAATAAACACTGTGGAAGAAATGTTAAGAGAAAAGCGGTCTCACTATCGAAAAGGGTATTATTCTATATTAGGGTATTCTTCTATAATTCTATATTTTTTATATAACAGTTACAATTAAATGAAACACTTAAAATAAGTAATACAATTTTTAATGTTGTTGTTTTTTAGTTTTAAGGGCGAACTTTGTCGAAATCAAACCCTAAATTAAAAAACCACTGGGTTTACTAAATTCGATAAACTGTAAATGTACTTTAAAATGTTAAATTTACACTGCTTTTTTGATTTTTTGAAAGCTATGTCTCACATTCGAAACAAACTGTAAATGTACTTTAAAACGTCAAATTTACACATCCTTTTATAATTTTTTAAAAACCATGCCACACATTTCGAAACAAATAAAAAACTGCACACTGAAATATTTTAATGTAAACATTATTATTTACATGTAAATAAATTATTTCCCATTTCTTTTTGATATATTCCATGTGCTAAATCAAAATAATGTATTTAATTATTGTAACAAAATTTATGAAGCGACTGAAAACAAACGTAAACCTTATTCTGATATGTGACGGAATTTAGCGTTTTTTGTTTCAATTAAATTCTAATGAAAGTTTCAACAATAGAAGGTCAAACGGATATGTAATTTGAATTGCAGTCGACTGGAACTTAAAACAAAATGTATACACCTACACACATACTTTGTAAAGTAAATTAAAAAAACAGAAAGCTGTTATATATTCTAACAAATCTATAAAAGGAATATTTATATACTTTTTTAAAACCTCATTTTTTGGAGTTCAATATAACTATTATTTAACTAAATTCTCTGCTAATACAAAATTAGAACGACTCCAAATGTCCTGAAACGGATTTGGTCCAAAGAGACCAAGGGTCTAAAAGCGTTATTTCTATGAGACACGTTTCGGCTGACACGTTATGGCTGAAGCTATAATAAATAAAATCAGCAGCATAAAAAGCATAGAATATTTTCCAGAAACTTATTACAAATAAAATACCTCCGGTCGGCCATTTATTTATTTATCTCTCTATCTTTCCATAAATCTAAAAGATATACCAATCTTCTATTTTTAGAATACCTTGACAAGGCATATTCGAGTGTGGATTTCGTGTGAATATTTAAATTCATTCATTAATCTAGCTTTAAATAAATTTTTGAAAAAAAAAGTTGGAATTGAGTTCGCATTTGGCTTAGAATATGATTTCAGCCAATTGTATATCAATTATAAAGCGACAACAAAAAAACAACAATAGGTAGTAACATTAACAACAATAAGTCGTCTAGAACTATATGTATTACTAATGTATACAGTGGAACCCAAATTTGCTCAATACAATCGCCATATGGCTAGAGAGAGTGTATATATTATTTGATACACTCAATATTTCCACCAATAAAATATATTTTATAAAAATGTTAGAGATCGGACCATTCCTTGTGTTGGTTCAAGATTTTGAAAAACAAAACGGTGCTATACCAAAACCTGGACCTGCACAGACAATTTTCTGTCATAGGCTGTAGTAGCCATTACGAACTTCAAATACCAAATTTAAAACAATTCCGGTGAATAATGTCGCTAAAATTATCAAAATACCGAATATTGGCACGTTCCGTCATATGGGGGCAATACGAACACGTGGACCTGTACAGACAATTTTCTGCCATAGGCTGTAGTATCCATTACGAACTTCAAATACCAATTTTAAAACAATTCCGGTGAATAATGACGCTAAAATTATCAAAATACCGAATATCGGTAGGTACCTTTATATGGGGGCTATATGAAAACGTGGACCTGCACAGACAATTTTATATCAAAGGCTGTAGTGTCCATTATTAGCTTCAAATATCAAATTTGAAACAAATCCGCAGAATAATGTCTCTAAAATCACCATAATACCGAATATTGGCACGTTCCGTCATATGGGGGCTATACGAACACGTGGACCTGTACAGACAATTTTCTGTCATAGGTTGTAGTTCCCATTACGAACTTCAAATACAAAATTTAAAACATTTTCGCTGAACAATGTCGCTAAAATCATCAAAATACCAAAAAAAGGGAGATACTGTTATATGGGCGCTATACCAAAACGTGGACCTACATGTCTCATTTTAAATACCAAAAGTCCTGCAGATGTAATACACATTTGAGTAATATTTTCTTTACCTACTTCTTTTCGTTCGGAAGCTAGAGTGATTTCCACAGATGGACTGACATCCCTACATCGACATAGAATTTTATACTGATCAAGAATATATATACTTTGTGGGGTCTAAAATGTATATTTCGAAGTGTTACAAACGAAAGAACAAACTAAATATAGCCTCCATACTATGGTGGAGGGTATAAAAACGATATTTCCAAATCCACAATTTGTTACTTACTCCGTCTCTCTGCAATTCCTATAGTGTCACGAAAAAATGCGTCATTTTAACATTGAATTACTGTCTCAAAATCTTGCTCACATACCTACCTACCCCAGCTCTAGTCTGGTTTATGAAAAAAGCGGCCGGTATCACAAGCCGGAATCCATTGTTCACTTGTGGATATATCAACGAACGAACGAACAGACATACAAACACTCGCACATACATTCACCCAACTGTGTTTGTATTTATGTGTTTTTATGCGGATGAATTGACAGAAAGAAGCCCACAAAGTTTTCTATTTCAAGTTCAATTTTTCAGTCTGGAGTTGATAGTGAATGGTGGTGGCCGAATTGGAAAACTAGTCGGGAAACGGGCAAACTATTGAAAATAGAGAAAAAAAAACAAAGAAGCATTTTGCGTGTGTAACTAACTTACAATAGCAAAGCATAACAACAGCGGCAACAACATCAAATTGTCTCACACAAATCAAGAAGAAGAAAAAACAACAACAACGAAACAGACCATTTAAATGTGTTGAAGATGTTGTAAAAAAAAGAGACGAGTGTACACTGACCTTGTGAATAAATGAATGGATGGATGATCTTTTGATTGGGGCTATGTTTAGACCAGTTTCCGAGCAGCAGACAGATAGATCAATTAAAAAAGAATTGAGCAACTGAGTTTAATTTTCCTCAAAAAAAAGTAATTAACAAAAAAAAAACCTACCAAACATCTATTTCAACAATGTCCAGCAGCAGCAGCAAATGTACCATCACCTTTGACAACAATCCCTTTGGAGTCTATTATGCCGGCCAAGTGGTATCGGGAACGGCTGAATTGGTGACCACCCGACCCAAGACAATACGCTGTAAGTAGCTTGTAATTGCATGGAATGCAGGAATACCAAAGCAATGCTATTTTTTTATTGATGCCGTAAATAGCATCTTGGGGTTGGTCCCTTTTGCAAAAACCAAACAGAAGATGACACATAAATAACAACGCAATTACCTCCCCCTTCCCAGTGACATTTTCCTCGTGAATTTATCATTAAGGGTATTATACTTCTTCCTTTTATTAATAAAACTTCGAGGCATTTGCAGCAATTGTTTGGCATTACGTCAGCTCCGGATATTAAGAACCCAGAAGAGAAGAACATCCACACATATTCGTAGATTTTCAGTTTAACGCGACACACCAACAAAATTTTTTGAATTATATCGTCATCAGACATTTGTCTGCGTAGCTCATTAATATTCTCTTCACTGTGGCTCAATACGAGGTGGGTTGTGAGAAGGAATGGGGAAAATTAGAAGTTCCAAGGTCTAATTAAAGGTATTTTTGCAGTAGCCATATACGAAGAACATATTCTACTTGCAAAAGATATTAGGAAGTAATTTAACCGTAGGAGGAAGAACTTAAAAAGACCATGAAAAGGCTTCTATCCACAGAAGATGACAAGAATTCAACAAAATTAAATCAGCTCAGAATGTATTTTTTGTTTTTTATACCCTTCACCATAGTATGGAGGGTATATTAAGTTTGTCATTCCATAAACCTCGAAATATACATTTTCGACCCCACAAAGTATATATATTCTTGATCAGCATACAATTCTATGTCGATGTTTGTCCGTTTATCCGTCTGTGGATACTCACTCTAGCTTCCGAATGAAATGAAGTAGGTTGATAAAATTTTACTCAAATGTATTTTATGTCTGCAGGACTTTTGGTATTGAAAATGGGCCATGTATGTTGGTAACTCCTGATATTCGGTATTTTGATGATTTTAGCTACATTTTTCACCGGAATTGTTTCAAATTTAGTATTTGAAGTTCGTAAGGTATACTACATCCTAAGACAGAAAATTGTCTGTGCAGGTCCACGTCTTCGTATGGCCCCCATATAACGGCACCTCCCGATATTCGGTATTTAGATGATTTCAGCGACATTATTCAGCGGAATCGTTTCGAATTTGGTATTTGAAGTTCGTAATGGATACTACAGCCTATGACAGAAAATTGTCCGTGCAAGTAAACGTCTTCGTATAGCCTCCATATAACGATACCTCCCGATATTCGGTATTTTGATGATTTTTAGCGAAATTATTCACCGGAATTGTATCAAATTTGGTATTTGAAGTTCGTAATCGATACTATAGCCTAAACCAGAAAATTTTCTGTGAAAATTGTAGCCCCCATATAACGATACCTCGGTATTTTTATGATATTAGCGACATTACTCATCGTTTTATAATATTCAAAATGTTGACCTTTTATGGGTAAGGTACCAGAAGGAGTGTACCGATGTATCCCATCTTAACAAGGGACCTTGGGTTAATAGAAATATTGAGATGTGTGAAATTTGAAGAGAACCGGATGCTTATTTCGGATTTTATAATCGTTTTGGTTATTCAAAAACTTTGTGGGAGAGTTGCCAGAAGAATGGTCCGATCTCTACCATCTTAATAACAGATCTTGTTTTGATAGATATATTGAGATGTGGCAAGCCCATCTTTGTTCAAGGAGTCTAAACCAGAAGCACAGTATCCCCTATCCGAGTGGCATCTCCCTAATCGAAAAATAATAAAACAAGTCGCAAATAAAAATCCATATTTACAGCTCCTGAGAACCTTCCTAAAACATTTCTAAAATCGACGTTAAAATCTAATTTCCTTCCAAAAACATTCTTAATGTTGTTGTTAATATAAATCTACACCTCTAAGACAATCAAAATAAATTCAGAAATATGTACTCGTTTACAGACCAAAGGTCCTTCGAAAAAAAACACTTTTAAAAATGCACAGCTCAAAGTCCTTCAACTGAATTTATCATACCCACCCCGCTTGCTGAACTATAATCGGCCCATAATTCATTTAGGTGTTGAATTTCTTTATTCCAGAATGTCGGTGTGTCCACCAAAGTGTTTCAGCTGAAATAAACCATGACCAACAAAACCAGTTTTTTTCTCGATTATTTCTAAGCCGAACAAATTGTTGTTGTAGTTTGATAATTATTTTTAGCATTTTTTTTTTGCTTTTTTGTAGAACCATTAGTTTGCGCTATAATTACAAAATCAGAAAATAAAAATAATAACAATAATGTGAGAACAGTTTAATGGTATGTGTGCACAGAATTCCAAGAATAAAAATTTACATGGTTAGTTTGCATAAAAAGTGGACTATAAAGAATACGCCGGTGTTAAAGTCATACCAGGGAAGCGATGTTTTTTATTTCGACGGGGAAGAAAGAAATCATCAATCATTCCGTAGAAAGAGAGGGTATATATCATTTGATACTGCCAAAACGTGCCTCATCGAAAAAACGAACCAAATCCATTTCAGGACATTTGGTGTGGATCTAGCGATGTCCGTCCGTCTGTCTGTCTGGCTGGCGCGCACGGTAACTCTCGAAGGGAGTATCAGATTTGATCCAAACTTGGTACATCGTAATATTATTGTAAAACTTAGATCAAGTTCGGAGTGGGACAATATCGGCCCACTCCATCAAGGACCTCCCCCACAAAGGGTAACCATTTTGAATGATTATAACACTTATTAAATGTGATGTATGAGTCCGATTGTCTTCAAATCACACACATCACAATATTTTTATTAACTCAAGGTCTGTTGTGAAGATGGTACATATCGGTCCACTCCTTCTTGTACCTCCCCCACAAAGAGTCAATATTTTGAATATTCATGAAGCTCGTAAAACGCGAAATTAACATCCGATTCCATTCAGATTAGGCACATCCCAATATTTCCATCAATACTAGCTCTGTTATAAAGATGGTGGAGATCGGACCATTCTTTCTGATACCTTCCCCACCAAGGGTCAAAGTTTTGAATAACCAAAACGATCATAAAATCCAAAATAAGCATCCGGTTCTCTTCAAATTGCACACATCACAATATTTTTATTACCCAAAAGTCTGGTGTGAAGATGGGATATATTGGTCTACTCCTTCTGGCACCTGCCCCACAAAGGGTCAAAATTTTGAATAAGTATGAAGCTCATAAGACGCGAAACGAACATCCGATTCCATTCAAACATGGCACATCTCAATATTTTCATTAACACAAGAACTGTTATAAAGATGATAGAGATTGGGCCATTCCTTCTGGTACCTCCCCCACAAAGGGTTAAAAAGGGTGAAACGAGAAATTAATATCCGATTCCATTCATGGAAGGTCGCAAAATTCATATCATATTTATTTAGGTCCGATATGAAATGAACAATATTGGCCTATTCCTTCGGAACCTACTCAATAGAGGGTCAACAATTTGAATAATAAGAATTGAGGCCAACCCTTAGCATTCCTCAAAAACTCAAAGAAAATTCATGTGAATAAAAGTTTAGGCCTCGCTGTATAATGTCTAAGGTACTTTTATATATTTATTATTTATATATTTATATTTATTTTTAGTTTTACAGGTTATTTTGAATCATCTATCCAATTTTGTGTGTCTGTCTCATAACGTGGTTGACATCAATTATGCCGATGGTCCTTAATGATATAATAGTTACTGTAATTGATCTTAATTTGTCTAGCCCAAGTATAGAAAAGAATTTAATTAAGTAATTTGAGGTCATCGCATGATCTTAAAACATGTCAGCACCCTCTATGCCGGCAGCTGATACACAAGTTAGCTTAAATTGAAAATCCACGTAGATGTCTCAAGTACTTAAGAATCCATTAAAAAAGACGGGTGGAGTAAGCAAAAAATAAACAATTATTTCACATGCAATTGTCTATTGTGAATGGACACTTGGGTGTTGGACATTCTAAAATACCAAGAATTGATTACTAAATTTATTTTCTAATTCAATTTTCGTTTTGTGTTTTTCTCTTTCCACAGCCATCGCCATTAGCATCAGCGGTTTCTCCGAGGTCCGCTGGACGGAAAACATAACCAAACAAGATGCTCAGGGCAATCGAGAAAAGGCAGTCGAAACCTACTCGGCAACGGAAATCTATTACACCAATGACAAGTTTGTCTATGGTCAAAATGGTGGTGCTCAACTGGAGTTGCCAGCTGGAAAATATGTCTTCCCATTTCAGGGTTCTATACCGCCAAATGCACCCACATCCTTTAATGGGGCCTGGGGTCGGATCCAGCATGAAGTTACCCTCACCATAGATCGTGTAATGCGTTATAACAATGAGTTTAAGCAGGCCTATACTGTTATATCGCCATACGATCTCAATTTGAATCCAAATCATGGGGTAAGTGAATTCCAAAAAAAAAAATGGCAAAAATTTGGATGGCAAAGGTTCCCAAAAGGGTATTAAAAAGTACACTTTAATGTCTCTGAAAGAAAATATTTTTTGGAAATCCACATATCGGTGATAAAACGTGATTTATAGCCTTAAAGATCCTTAGATCCTTATTAATAATAAACTGGCTCTGAAGATCCTTCAAAAATATTAAAAAAATTACATTTTTGGTTCTGAAGATCCTTTAAAAAATTCCCGTTTATGGCTTTAAAAGTCTTTCAAATATATTCCTTAAAAATCCAAGATCTTGGTTTGGTTAAGGCTCTTAAAAAATCCAGATTTTTGACTCTAAAGATCCTCCGAAAAGGGTATTAAAAAGTACACTTTAATGTCTCTGAAAGAAAATGTTTTTTGGAAATCCACATATCGATGATAAAACGTAATTTATAGCCTTAAAGATCCTTAGAACTATTCATAATAAACAGGCTCTGAAGATCCTTCAAAAATATTTAAAAAAAAATATACAATTTTGGTTTTGAAGATCCTTTAAAAAATCCCCGATTATGGCTTTAAAAGTATTTCAAAAATATTCCTTAAAAATCCAAGATCTTGGCTCTAAAGGCTCTTTAAAAAAAAATCCAGATTTTTGATTCTAAAGATCCAGATTTATATATCTTAAGATCCTTTAAAAATCTTTTTAAACAAAATCAGATTTGTGGCTCTAATGATCCTTTGCAAATATTGTAAAGAAACTCCACGTGTTTTGGCTCTGAAGGCCCTTTAAAAATCTTAAAAAAAAATCCAGGTTTTTGGCTCTGAAGATCTTTTAAAAATATTCTTAAAAATCCACATTTTTGACTTTAAAGGTCCTTCAAAAAGTTTGAAAAAAATATACCTTGATTTTTTCATAATTTTTCTTATATTCTGTCCTTGCAGAAACCTTTACACAAAATCGAGGAGAAAACCTTCTGCTGGAGTCTTTGCTGCGGCAGCAAGGGGCCCATGGTGATGACAGCCAAGGCACCGTTCAGCGGCTATGCCCCCGGACAAAAGATACGTTTTAACATCGTACTCGACAATCAATCTGACGTGCATTGTTCCGACGTCAAAGTGCGCCTCATGAAAAAAGTCGTCTACACAAGCCGTTCGCCCGAAACAAAAACAAAAGAGACCGAAATCAAAGTTGCGGACAATCATTGCGGAGAGGTGGTGAAATATAATAAAGCCGAATTTAATGAATTCTTGCAAATACCCTCCACCACACCGACCTCGCTGGAGAGCTGTAGTATTATTAAAGTTAGTTATTCGTTGAAATTCATTGCCAAGGTATCGAGGATTCATGGCGATTTGGTGATTGAGTTTCCGCTGACGATTGGTACGGTGGCTCTGTTTGCCAGTACCGTTGAAACGGAGGCGGTTACATCACAGCCCGGGCGGGGACCGGTGTATAAACCATTGCGTAAGTGTGGTTTTCACTTTAAAATCTCAATAAAATGCTATTAAAATGTATTTCTTTTCAGCCCCTCCCATGTTCGAAGAAGATGTACGCTCGGAACAGTTTGAAAGCAATACCTTTAAACCTAGATATCCGGTATTTTTAAATGATGGCGAACTGGGTGTTAATGGTACCGCAACACCTGGCCCGGCGGCACCACCGCCGTCATCGGCCAACAATCTTTATCCTTCACCTCAACCGGGTCCCATGGTCGTTACACCAACCCCACCAAAAGCAAATATAACACCAACTGCCCCACCAGCAGCTGTGATGCCATCACCCACGGCACCACAATCGCCAGCTGTTGTTCAACCACCCAACACAAATCGTCCGACCCCTGGTCCTCCGCATCAACCTTCTCTGGAAGTTTTAGGTTTCAGCCTACCACCTGACTATGAACCCACACCCCACGATCCATCTGCAAATATTGGTTGGAAATAAATTTGCAAACGAAGTCTTCTTAACTATTTTTTACACTCACACAAACATACAACTATACGATTTGATACAAATATTTTATTGCATTTCTTTTTTATATATCTCTCTTGATATATATACCGACAAGCTACTATTATATATATATAAATATGTATACAAACATTATTATTTTTTATTTTTATAAAATATATGAACAAATAAAGACAACACACAAAATGGTATTGTAATAAAAATAAGTTTTTTTTTGTTAAATAGGGTTTAAGACCCACCAGAGATGTAAATGTGGATTGTTGTAAAGAAGGGTTTTCCAAGGTTCACTCCTTTTGGTACCTCCCCCACAAAGGGTAAACATTTTTAAAATCCACGAAGCTCATAAAACGCAAAATGACCATTCCTATTAATTCAGACTTGGCACATTTTAATATTTCCATTAACACAAGATCTGTTATAAAGATTGTAGAGATCGGATTATTCCTTCTGGTACCTCCCCCACAAAGGGTCAAAGTTTTGAATAACAAAAACGATCATAAAATCCGAAATAAGCATCGGGTTCTCTTCAAATTACACACATCCCATTATTTCTACTAACACACATTTCTAAAGTGTGTCTTGGCAAATTCTGCTAAAATTGTTTCTAAATAATTAAAATTTTATTACACTTCTTACTACTCCTTCTTTCTCCCCTGGGTTTCCAATATGTGGGTAATATCCCGGTGGAAGCACAAATTTTTGTTTTAAATACATGGCAAAACAATGATTCTACTATGGCCAAAACAATATATCTTGTATTGCAATACCAGATAGAAAATTTCAGGTCGCCGACTGCCGTAGAATCAATGTCCAGCTGGATATTAAGATTTCATTTCAATTAAGATTTTCGTGTATTCTAAACTACAAGCTTACCTCCACATTCAACATGACTTCTTTGAATTACTAAAAGACTTCCATATTTTCAAAATTTTTCTAGCAAGGAAACCTTTTTCATCGAAATTAACCAATTCTTCTAAATCAAAAAATAAATTAAAATTTCAAATGAAATGTAACGTCTCTCTAACCGCAATGTACAACCCTGTTTGACAACTGCCACTCGTTGCCGCCAATTGTTTTCATCCAGCCATGTGGCAACATGAAATTGCCATCGATTATGTTATTATGTTAATCACTCACATTGAATGTCAACATTGTCAAAGAAAAGAAGAAGACTCAAGTAAAAATTACTTACTTACTAATCAGAAGTCGACTTACCTATCCCTATTTCACTTTTGACGTAACTTGTTTTGAAATTGAATAGTCAAAACAGCACAGCAGATATACCGACATAAACCTGATCGGATCGTACCACTGCTAAGAGACGAGAGGGGGTGATTAAAGCTCACCACCAGCAGAGATTCCAAGAGACTGCTGCATAACAACAAAGGGCCAAAGTGAAGAAGATTCAATCAATGGGTTTCTCAACTGTTGATTATTGGTTAAGTTTTTGGCGGCTGTGAGCGACAAGCCTTCAATTTTTATGGATGAGCAAGGCCAGCTAGCTGCAGTCAGGTTGGTTGGTTAGTTAAAGAAAAAGAAAGTTGAGAAAACAAAAAAACAACGTGCTAACATGAATGAAACCCATTGACACTCAAAACCAAAGAGAGGTGCGGTGTAACACAACAGCGCAGCAGACTGAAACTACAAATTCCACCAAAAACGATTTTTAGTATTGAAACAGGTGTTATTGGAAGAGGTTCAAATCGAAATTGTTAAGCGGGCGGACCGACTATGTGATACGGAATCGAAATTTAGTGTTTTGTTTTGATATTCAATTTACAACAACCCCCCCCCCCCCCCCAACCATACTACCCGACCAATGTAGTAGTAGTCCATTGTTGGAATTTCAAAATAAAAGAGCTGAAGCTGAAAACATCGACGACCTGGAATGGATACAATTACAGGCGCTTGAATAACAACAAAGAAATTCGAAAACTTTCATTTATGCACATTGTGGATAATTGCATTTTATGCCAAGTTTTGTTTTTCCTTTATTTTATTATTGTGGGTAAGTCAATGAGACGAATATACACTTAATGTAATCATAGTTGTTTACATCACTGCTGTCCAACCCTCGAAACTAGTTTCATACCCTACACCGCACTGTGTGCCAAGGTTATTATGTTCGTAACATTGTGAAGGGGGGGAGATATAGGTGCCTAGTTACATTTAGAGATCTTCATAGCACTACTTTCCGAGACGATTAATGCATGTCCGTCGTCTCTGTGTGAAGCTATTTTAATATAAGTACAGATCGCATTTAAAGTCTGATAAACATACAGTTTTGCTGGGTTCCTTTGGTTGGCTCCAGGACGAAGACTTTCATTAGCTGACTAGATTATCTACAAAACACTATTTTGAGGGACCATTGAACGTGGAAAGGAGGGTATATTAACTTTGTCATTTCCTTTGTAACATCCCTAAATATTCGTCGTAGACCCCATCAAGCACATATATTCAGAATCAGCATAAAATTCTAAGTTGATTTAACGATGTCCGTCTGTCTGTTGAAATCACGATTCAGAGCACATTATTTGACGTAGAGCTTCAAAATTTGGCAAAACTATTTGTATTGTGTCCATGAAAATGAAATATATCGTTTTGATATAGCCGCCATATAACGGTTCCGCCCGATATTCCCTATTTCGATGATTTTCACCACATTTTTCACCGATTTGTTTAAAAATTATTTTTTGTAGATCATAATGGGCTTTAGCTTCGGTTGGGAAACATTGTATATATAAGTCCACGTTCTTGTATAGCTCCCATATAACGCTACCTTCCGGTATTCGGCATTTTGATGATTTTCACTACATTTTTTCACCGATTTGTTCAAAATTTGGTATTTGTAGGTCATAATGGTTCCTAGCTCCGGTTGCGAATCATTTTATGCATACGTCCACGATTTGGTATAACCCCCATGTAACGGTACCTCCCGATATTCGGAATTTTGACGATTTTTGCCACAATTTTTCACGGATTTGTCTACAAATTGGTATTTGTAATTCGCAATGAATTCAAGCTCCGGTGGCGGAACCTAGTATATATATGGGTCCGCATTTTGGTATAACCCCTATGTAGCGCTACCTCCCGATATTCGGTATTTGCACAATTTTTCACGGATTTGCCCAAAAATTGGTGTTTGTAGTTCGCAATGGGTTCTAGCTCCGGTGGCAAAACATAGTATATCTAGGTAACCCCCCATAACGGTACCTCGCAATATTCGGTATTTTGATGATTTTCGCCACATTTTTTTTAACGGACTTGTCTAAAAATTGGTATTTGTAGATTTGTAGTAGTAGATAATGGGGTTTAGTTCCGGTGGCAGAACATTGAATACTTAGGTCCACTTTTTCCTATAGCGCCCACATAACGATATTCAGTATTTTGATAATCCTAGTCACATTTACCCACAAAATTGTTTCAAATTTGGTATTTAAGAAGATTTGGTTTGATGACAATCCTTGAAGTATAAAATTGTCTATAGAGGTTCCCGTTTTGGTATGGCCTCCCTTATGGAGGTTACTTAGATTACGGCCCGGCCGAACATAAGGTTTTTTCTTGTTAATTAATAACTGACCTAAACTTGTGGATTTTTTCCGATTTGAAAATTTGACCCCCCTCAGTCCAAACTATGCATTCAATAACAATCACATTACTATACCCTGTTTCTTACGCGGATCTCTTTTAAATGTGCATAGTAGTGTATGGTATCACATAATCGACCTCGCCCAACTTTTGTCCTTTCCCAACAGCTTAATTGTATATAATTAAAAATAATGTTTGTGTTTTGTTAGCCAAAGTCGGCGTCACAGTTGTGCTATAATTTTCTATTTAAAAACTAGTGTTGTAATCAAAATCTTTATTTCAAATCAAGATTTGCTTTTCCCCGATAATTATGGCGGTAATTTCCCTCATTAACCTATTGTACCTGCCTGCTAGCGCGTACCGTATCAAAAGACCATATCGAAAGATCTTATTAATTGTTTCCAATTGTCATCCACCAGCAATCACGTATGCCACAAAGATCAAGCGTATGCGCATGCGTGCACATTTTGATTATAGACTTGATTTTGAGATATCAAATAGAAAAACCACCACGATGGTTGGTAATGGTTTCTTACATGTTGGCATGTAAGCTTGAGAAAAGAAAAACAAGATGCTCTCGCAAGGCACGACAAGAAGAAGGTGTGAATGTCAAAATAGTTAGTCAAATATTTAACACTTGTCTCAAGCGACAATAGTGCGTAGAAGCCATCGATTGTTTTTTTTTTATTTGGCATCAGCAGCAACATGAGTCAATACCATAAACTCTTATTGTATTTTCGCAATATTTATGTTTGTGGCAAAAATGTTGAAATAAGAAAACAATATGGACACATTGGGATAGGTATTGATTTTGTTTTGGAATGTTTACAGATTGTTGGTTGGTCATAGATCTCAGCTTGATTTGCATAAATTTAAATTTATGCATTTAATGTTTGTATTTTATGCCCCATCATTTTCGGAGCGGTTTTGTTAAGATTTCAAGGGCAAATATTATAGCAGCCAAATGAAGAAGGAAAAAAAAAATATTTATTTTAAAATTAAAACAGGTATATTTTTAGATGTAGACTTTGTTTGGAGTTTGTTACGATGGTATTCTAAAGGTTGCCTAGTGAAAAGGGGCCCTATTAGGCTTTAATATGAATATGGGGATGAGAGCTGTTAAGTGTATTAGGAAATATTATCTCGATTGTTGTGGTAACATTGATGCAGATATATTCTTGATATATAATAGAAATTAGAGACTTAGAAATAGAAATAGAGATTTATTTTCTTTGGTGACTTATATGGAAATTTGCTAGAGAACATTTTTGTCTTAGACATCATCATTCGAAAATGATGCATTGTAGGGGAATTTGCATAGACTCCCATCGGATACGCCTCTAACCTTAAATCAGTAAGCAGTAAGTTAAAAAGCAGTAAGTTCAGCCGGGCCGAACTTTGAATACCCTCCACCATTTGGAACGAATTTGAAAATTTTCAAAAAATAAAATCCTTAAAAAAATCTGTTGAAATTTTAAAAATACCGAATATAGCCGTTATATTGGGGTCTATACGACGTGGACCTACATAGGCATTGTTTGTCATAAGCCATTACCATATTCAAATTCGAAACTTGAAATAAACGATCATTAATGTAGCTTAAATCATCAAAATCGGAGCTGTGCGAACACCTGGACCAACATAGACAGGTTTCTGTCACAGGCTGTAGCATCCATTACGAACTTCAAATACGACATCTCAAACAATTTCGGTTGGTTTTGTACCTAAACTCGTCAAAATACCGAATATAGGGAGGTACTGATATATGGGGCCTATACGAAGACCTGGATCTGCATAGACAATTTTCTGTCATAGGCTGTAGTATCCATTACGAACTTCAAATACTAAATTTGAAACAATTCCGGTGAATAATGTCGCTAAAATCATCAAAATACCGAATGTCGGGAAGTACCTTTATATGGGGGCTATACGAAGACGTGGACATGCACAGACAATTTTCTGTCATAGGCTGTAGTATCCATTACGAACTTCAAATACCAAATTTGAAACAATTCCGGTGAATAATCTCGCTTAAATCATCAAAATACGGAGTACTGAAATGTACCATTATATGGGAGTTATACGAAGGCGTGGACCTGCAAAGACAATTTTCTGTCTTAGGCTGTAGTATCCATTACGAACTTCAAATACCAAATTTGAAACAATTCCGATGAATAATGTCGCTAAAATCATTAAAATACCCAATATAGGGAGGTATGGGGCCTATACGAAGACCTGGACCTGCATAGACAATTTTCTCTCATACGCTGTAGTATCCATTACGAATTTCAAATACCAAATTTAAAACAATTCCGGTGAATAATGTCGCTAAAATCATCAAAATACCGAATATCGGGAGGTACCATTATATTGGGGCTATACGAAGACGTGGACCTGCACAGACAATTTTCTGTCATAGGCTGTAGTATCCATTACGAACTTCAAATACAAAATTTTAAACAATTCCGATGAATAATGTCGCTAAAATCATTAAAATACCCAATATAGGGAGGTACTGATATATGGGGGCTATACGAAGACTTGAACCTGCACAGACAGTTTTCTGTCAAAGGCTGTAGTATCCATTACGAACTTCAAATACCAAATTTGAAACAATTCCGATGAATAATGACGTTAAAATCATCAAAATACCGAATATCGGGAGGTACCATTATATGGGGGCTATACAAAGACGTGGACCTGCACGGACAATTTTCTGTCATAGGCTGTAGTATCCATTACGAACTTCAAATACCAAATTTGAAACACTTCCGATGAATAATGTCGCTAAAATCTTCAAAATACCGAAAAAAAGGGAGGTACTATTATATGGGGGCTATACGATGACGTGAACATGCACGGACAATTTTCTGTCTTAGGCTGTAGTATCCAACACGAACTTCAAATACCAAATTTGAAACAATTCCGCTGCATAATGTCGTTAAAATAATCAAAATACCGAATAAAGGGAGGTACTATTATACGGGGGGCTATACCAAAACGTGGATCTACATGGCCCATTTTCAATACCAAAAGTCCAGCAGACATAATATACATTTGGGTAAAATTTTATCAACCTAAATTTCGTTCGGAAGCTAGAGTGATTTCCACATAGGGACGGAAATCGCTAAATCGACATAGAATTTTATGCTGATCAAGAATGTTTATGTATATTTCGAGGTGTTACGGAATAACAAATTTAGCATAATCTCCATACTATGGTGGAGGGTATAATTTTTTTTTTTTGGGAGGGAGGGGTGTGGAATTTGTTCCCCCTCTATTTTGGTTACTTTGCGATGTACATTTTTCTAACGCCTCTGTATGCGCCTCCGATTTTTAGTTCTGCTTTTTTATAATATGCTGGATTTTTACCAGTAATTATTGAAAAGGGAGGAATCAATGCCCGCTACTCTAAGGGAATATAATGATGGTCCTGCTTCGGTTTCGGTTAGCAAAATTTGAAAAAATTGATGCTATATCCGACATTTTTTGTAAAATGTAAAAAATGGCGTTTTACTTTGTTCGTTTTTTTTATTTCACCCTGTAAATGCAAACTCCTCATATGTAAGGTTTTCTTATGCATTCAATATCTTCTTAGGATCTCTAATCTCTACCTAATCTTTCTGACCCTTTTCTCTTTTTTACATATGTACATGATGATTTATTCAATCCCCATTTTAACAAATATTTTTTGTTTCTTCCCCATTTTTTTTTTGCAGTTTCTCAAACAAAAAAGAAAACAACATTTTCTAAAAAGTAATCATCAAGACTGAGATTTTTGACTCCGATGATCTATACAACAACCTCAAACCTGGCAGTGGCCGTAATGAACTATTACTTCATTCAGTCTCAAAATACCTTGGCGTAACATCTCTGGCGACGTCACAACGCATAACAATACCAACTGAAGCCGAAAGAAACAAACAAACAGACAAGTCGGCACACACACTCGCACTTACACACACACACACACATATTTCATTCAGACATTCAACGACAAGCCAGAAGAAAAGTGAAACTTACAAACCTCAGTTGCGAGTTAATGCTTGCACACAACGCACAAGAAACCAAGCAAACTGCTCCTCCATAAGCTTTAGATAGACGACGACAACAACAAATATACCTTAAAGATGACACCACAAGTGAGTACAACAACAAATGCCACCACCTCAGTGGCAAAGCCAACCTTGGATCAGCCAGCAAAGACTCCAGCCAAAAAACGTACCCACAGCAAAAAGGAACAGTTGCAACAAATCATTGCCGGTGGCTTGGCAGCAGCTATAACACGATCCACATGTCAACCATTCGATGTCTTGAAAATACGTTTCCAACTGCAAGTTGAACCGCTCGGGGTGGATGCAACCTCGGTGGCAGCTAAAAAATCCAAATATATTTCCATAACCCAAGCCGTCAGAACAATATTCAGGGAAGAGGGCCTCATGGCCTTCTGGAAGGGCCATAATCCAGCTCAGGTGCTAAGTGTCATGTATGGCATATCACAATTCTGGACCTACGAACAATTGAGTTTGTTTGCCAAACAAACCGTCTATCTCAAGGATAAACCAAATCTATCCAATTTCATATGTGGTGCCGTGGCCGGCAGTACGGCTGTGATAATTTCAACACCATTAGATGTGATACGCACGCGGCTGATAGCGCAGGATACGAGTAAGGGTTATCGCAATGCCACACGGGCTGTGGCCTCGATAATTCGCAATGAGGGTCCGCGCGGTATGTATCGTGGCCTCTCGTCGGCCCTGCTGCAAATAACACCGTTGATGGGTTCGAATTTTATGTTCTATCGTCTGTTCTCACAATCGGCCTGTAAGATGTTCCATGTGGAAGAGAGAAGGTGAGTGGGGGAATTAAATTGATAAAATTGGAAATATTGAGTAAAAATCATTAATATTTTAAAACACTGAAAAAATAAATTTTCAATTAGAAATTAATATTTTTTTCAAAAAATAATACATTTAATTTAGAGCCTATTTTTGACAAACGAATCGAAAGTGGAAATTTTGAGGAAAAATCATTATTTTTTCAAACACTGAAAAAAATAAATTTTCAATTGAAATTAATTTTCTTTCAAAAACTAATAGATTTAATTTAGGGCCTATTTTTGACAAAGGAATCGAAAGTGGAAATTTTGAGTAAAAATCATTATTTTTTAAAACACTGAAAAAATAAATTTTCAATTGGAAATTAATTTTTTTCAAAAAGTAATAGATTAAAAATAGAGCTTATTTTTGACAAAGGAATCGAAAGTGGAAATTTTGAGTAAAAATCATTATTTTTTAAAACACTGAAAAAATAAATTTTCGGTTGGAAATTAATTTTTTTTTTTTTCAAAAAATAATAGATTTAATTTAGTTCCTATTTTTGACAAAGGAATCGAAAGTGGAAATTTTGAGTAAAAATCATTATTTTTGAAAACAAAAAATTAAATTTAAAATTAACAAGTAAAAAACATTAAGCAAGAGAACATATACAAATCAAACAAAGTAGAACAGAGAAAGCCCGTTAAAAGAGAGCCCCAACATGTCTACAAAGATTTCCTGTAGTTCAGCCCATGGTTCAGCCTCTTCTGAGAAATTTTAATCGATAATCAGCCAATCGATAGTAATGTAAACAATGAATCATCTGTTCAATAACCACAAAAATCCCCGATTTTTTTTCTAGTTGGAAAATAAAAAATTAAAATAAACAAGTCAACAAAAAAACATTAAGTACGGCCGGGCCGAACTTTTAATGCCCCCCACCATTGGGTAAAGAAAACATTTTTATATAAAAGTATCAGAATTCCAATGTGTTCCACCGTAAACTACAAACACCAGTAAGACCGTTTGGACAATTCTGTTAAACTTTTGAAAAAACCGTTAAGTGAATGAGGCCTGCCGGTGAGGGGTCCATACCAAAACCGGAAACCTGCATAGACAATTTTATAATTCAAGGATTTTCATCTACCAAATCTTCTTAAATACCAAATTTGAAACATTTTGTGGGTAAAATACTGAATACCGGTGGGTATTGTCATTTGCGCGCTATAGGAAAACGTGGACCTAGATATTCCATTATTGCCAACGGAGGGAGAATCCATTAAGGACCAATTTTTAGGCAAATCCGTGGGAAAATGTGGCAAAAATTATCAAAATACGCAATATCGGGTGGTACCCTTATATGGGGGCCATACGAAAACGTGGACCTATACAAAAAAAGTTTCGCCACCAGAGCTGGAACCCATTATGACCTACAACTACCAATTTTAAGACAAATTGGTAGAAAAATATGGCAAAAATCATCAAAATGCGCAATATCGGCAGATACCCTTATATGGGGGCTATACGAAAACGTTGACCTATTCATATAATGTTTCGCCACCAGAGCTTGAACCCATCACGACATACAAATACCAATTTTTAGACAAATTCGTGTAAAAATCTGGCAAAAATCATAAAAATAACGAATATAGGGAGGTACCGTTGTATAGCGAATATATCAAAACGTGGACCAATATATCTCATCTTTAATACCAACCATCCTAGACACAATACAAATTGTTGTGCCAAATGTTAAAGCTCTTCATCAAATAATGTGGGCTGTATCGTGATTTCAACCCAGACAGATAGTCGGACGGACAAACTTACATCATTACATCGACCTAGAATTTTATACTGATCATGAATATATATACATTATAGGGTCTACGACGTATATTTAGGGAAGGGAATGCCAAAGTTAATACTGGGTGAGATAAAAAAACTGCAACAAAGTCAAACGCCATAATTTTTACATTTTTTTTTAAATTTTATTGAATGAAAGCAAAAATCTTGGAAATAGCATCCAATTTTAGAATAAGCTTAGATTTGTTGGAATTGGTCACCTTTGGCACGCATTATGACCTTAAAACGGCCAATGGAACCGTCACAAGCTGCCCGAATTTTGCTCTGCGGTATTTTGGCCCATTCCCGGCGAAGCGCTTGCTTGAGGTGATCGACACTTTGGTGTTTTTTTAGTGCCAACTTTGCTTTCCAAAATACTCCAGACACAATAGTCCAACGGATTGGTATCCGGAGATTTTTTGGTGGCCATTGTGCGCTGGAAATGAAGCGAAGAACCTCATTTTGTAACCATTCGCGTGCTGAATGTGATGGTGCTGAGTCCTGTTTGAAATTTCCAAGGTCTGTGGCCAAAATGTTTGCGTGCCCAACGCTTTCACCCTCCAGAATATTTTCGCAATAATATACGTCATTTATTTTGATGCCACGGTCGATTAATACGAGCGGAGAACGACCAACGGCTGTTATGTCGGCCCACACCATCACCATGCCCGGCGCTTGAGTTTTGGCCGCCAACCGAAGGTGCACATTTTCAGCTGACCTCTTTGGAAAGTTAACACGATCATTTTGTATGTTTACAAACTGCTGGACAACGAATGTTTTCCCATCGGAGAAAACCAAATTCGGCAGTTCGCCACTTTCGACCAAGCGAAGCAACTTTTTAGCTCTTTAGAGTCGATTTTTTTTCTGCTGCCGTGTATGTTCTTGTACTTTTTGGAATTTGGAATTTCAATGGCTTTACCCCGAGCTTATTTTTCAATATTTGCCGAATGAAATATTGCGATATGTTCAGTAAACGAGCCATTTTTCGGCCACTGCGACGAGGTGTTCGATGGATGGTGGCTTCTTTACTTTTCGAACCATTTCTGCTGATGTTGCTGTATTCTTCTTTCGTCCACTTCCTCGACGTCGGGCTACGCTACCAGTATTACGGTAACGAGACACCAAAGATTTATTCACATTTAAATGCTGGAGTGCTCTAAGGCTAGCCACTTGTGGTTTTCCAACCAAATATAAATAAATCACACTATCACGCTTGTATTCCATCACGAATAACTATTTTTTTTTTCTGAAAAATTCTCACTAAAATGCTTTCGTACGCCTGTCACAGGGATTATTTTAACAGCCGTCGTACGAGTGGCTTAGAAATTAAACAGCTGTCTGAAGTTGTTTGCAGTTTTTTCATCTCAGCCTGTATATATACTTTATGGGGTCTAATATTTAGAGATGTTCCAAACGGAATAACAAAGTTAATACACCCTCCTTTTCAAAGTGGAGGGTATAAAAATTATTATTATTATTATTCTTTTTTTTAAACTAATAACTTTAATTCAGGGCCTGTTTTAACAAAGGCGAAGGAAAGACACCAATCCAAATATGTTTTCCAAATTTTGAATTGAACTCAAAAATATGAAAAAAAAACTTATTTGGAATTGTGTATTTTGTTCTCTTTCATTTTCATATTGTTATACTGAAATAAAACCTTAACATTATCTTAATTTGCGGGAATTTTTCTTCGGGGAGTTTTATTTATATTTCAAGTAGTTGGAAAAATAGACCTTAAATTTGTTATTTTGAATTGTCCTTTTAACATTTGCAATTATAAATTATAATGTTTCTATAAATAATTTACAATATTCCCTATATTTTTGTCTCTTCACAGTCAACTTCCCACCTGGACTCTGCTGATAATGGGTGCCTCATCGGGAATGCTCTCCAAAACGATTGTCTATCCATTTGATTTGATCAAGAAACGTTTACAAATACAAGGTTTCGAATCGAATCGTCAAACCTTTGGACAAAACATACGCTGTACGGGGGTCTATAGCTGTCTGCGGGAAACCATCAAACAAGAAGGTGTTCGCGGTCTTTACAAAGGTGTTGCTCCCACCCTGCTTAAGTCAAGCTTGACAACAGCTTTGTACTTTAGTATCTATGATAAATTGAAGCAGATACAATGGTTACCAGCTAACAGCAGCAGCAGCACCAAGTCCAGTTAGAACACACACACACTCACATTCAATGTGGTTATTAAACGCCGGATATTTAATAACCGTCACATTTTTTTATTGAAAGACATTTCTAAATTAGTTAAATATACATAATTATATATAATTTTTGTTTTTTTTTATAATTTTATTGTAAATAATTTAGTTAGTACAATTTAAGTTATAAAGAAATGTTGTTGTCTATTTTGATAATTATGATAATTATTATATGCATACATTCGGTTTTCCTTTTTTTGTCGATAAAAAAAAAATATTTTGTAACGATATTATTTTTAAACAAAGAGAAGAAAAATATATATACACTTTTTTCCAAGGAGAACAACAAAATGTGGGATATATTTAAAAAAAATTATTTATTTGTTGTTGGTGTGGTTAAAAACGCAAGTGCTTGACCGCTGTTAGCACGCCAATGTGCCAGCTACCACATAAGCTTTCTTCCTACTAAAGGTTTATTAAATTTAATTTTAAATACCACAAAAAATAAGAGATATTACGAATAATTGTGAAAAAGTCAGAGGGAGAGAGATGGTATGAAATTCTCTTCTGCTCACTTTGTGTAACTGAAAAAGCTCTCTATTTATCTGTTTTGATGTTTACCTTTATATGGTGAGACAAGTAATAGCCAAATATAGTTCCAAACATGTTAAAAAATGTCAGTCTGTTTTGCCGACATCTATATATACCCCCAGCCTTGATTTATGATCATTCAAACTGTTGACCCTTTATGGTGGAGGTTCCGAAGCAATTGGCCAATACTGACCAATTTGTATGTGACATAAGACTGATATAAATATTACAACGTGCCAGATTTGGACTGTTTCGACTACTTCCTATCATTTATGTGAGATATATGCAAATTTTTGGAAAATGTGGAAATATGCGGGCCGAAGTATTCCATTTTTATACTTCATCTAATAGAGATGGGAAAAATTACAAGAAATTCGAACATTTAAATCCAATTAAATATTCATCTTAGGTTTCCGCTTAAGAGAAATATTTAGATATAGCAAGTTATAGAGATTCGCCGCCCTTTTTTACAAGTTATGACAGATATAAGCATTGAAAATTGTGACCCTTTATGGGTGAGGTACCAGAAGGGTTTCGCAGATACATATATCATCTTCACAACAGATCTTGCTTTAGCAAAAATATTTGGATGTGTGAAATTTGAAGCGAGTTGGATGCTTGTTTCGCCTATGTGGGGGGAGAGGTACCAGAGGGAGTGCGCCGATGTATCCCATCTTCACAGCAGATCTTGTGCTAGTAAAAATAATGGGATGTGCAAAATTTGAAGAGAATCAAATGTTTATTTCGGATTTTATGATTTTGTTTGTTATTCAAAATTTTGAACCTTTGTGGAGGAGGTACCCGGAGGAATGGTCCGATCTCTATAATCTTTATAAAAACTCTTGTGTTTATCGAAATATTGAGATGTGCCAAATCTGAATGGAATTTCGTGTTTTATGAGATTCATGAATATTCAAAAATTTGACACTTTTGTGTGGGAGGTACCAGAAGGAGTGGACCGATATATCCCATCTTCACACCAGATATTGGTCTGGTAGAAATATTAGTATACATGAAATATGAAGAGAAACGCATGGTTATTTTGGGATCGTTATGATCGTTTTGGTTTATGAAGGAATGGTCCGATCTTTGTCATCTTTATTACAGATCTTGTGTTTAGAGAAAACAAGTCGAAATGGAATCGGATGTCAATTTCGTGTTATATGAGCTTCATTAATATTCAAAATTTTGACCCTTTGTGGGGAAGATACCAGAAGGAGTGGACCGATATATCCCATCTTTTCGCCAGATATTGTGCTGAAAGAAATATTGGTATGTGTGAAATATGAAGAGAACCGGATGGTTATTTCGGATTTTATGAACGTTTCGGTTACTCAAAATGTTAACCCTTTTTGGGGACGGTACCAGAAGGAATGGTCCGATCTCTACCATCTCTATAACAGATCTTGTGTTGATGAAAATATTGAGATGTGCCAAGTCTGAATGGAATCGGATATTAATTTCGTGTTTTATGAGATTCATGAATATTCAAAAATTTTGACCCTTTGTGTGGGAAGTACCAGAAGGAGTGGACCCATCTTCACATCAGATCTTGAGGTAATAAAAATATTATGATGTGTGTATTCTGATATGTGAATCGGACACTTACATCTCATTTTATACGAGTTATAATTATTCAAAATTTTTCCCTTTGTGGGGAGCCACTTGATGGGGTGAACCGATATTGTTCATTTTCACACCTGACCTAGCACCGATGCAAATAGTTACTTTGAAAATTTTGACATATTGTGTGGGAGGTACCAGAAGGAGTGGACCGATATTGTTCATCTCCGAACTAGATCTAAGTTTGACAATAATATTACGATGTACCAAGTTTGGATGAAATCGGAAACTCCCTTCGAAGGTTATGGTTATGGTGCGCATCAGCCAGATAGACGGAGGGATGGACGGACATTGCTAGATCGACTCCAAATGTCCCGAAACGGATTTGGTCCAAAGAGACCTAGGGTCTGAAACCGTTATTTCGATGAGACACGTTTTGACCGTATCGAGTCATATGGCTGAGCTGATAATAAGGCATTTTAAGACATTTTCTATTACAAAAAGATTGTAATAATTCTAAAATTCTTTCTTTTGTTTTACCCAAAAAACATTTGGTCTGCTCCTCCTTGTTTTTGTGAGGTATATAGAAATGTATCGGCTGTACATGATAAACATATTCCAATGGTATATAATTTAGTGCAGAATCTATTTGTAAAAATTTCAAACGAGATTTTTTGAAATTCTTTGCAATTTCCGGTAGAATAGTTAAAACTGACGATGAATCCTCCGCCGATGAATATATTGTTAAAAATATATCCTTTTTCGAATTGTTTACAAATGATTTGAAATTATTGGCCACACATGATGTGAGGCCTTGTTTTGCCGGTTTCATTTCTGACCATGATTCGGAACGGTAAAGTTTGGTATAATTAAAATAGTATAGATGATAAAATAAAGATGATGGGGTGCGGAAGTTTTCAATTTTGTAAATTCTCTTACAGCGGTCTATTTTGTACAGAATGGTTTTGGTTTTGTGAAATTCTAAATCTGTGTTCAAACATTCTTCTTGATACCATTTGGGATATAGAATATCCAGGTCTTTTATGTTGGCAACGAGGTAATCAATTCCATAACCATGTCTCGCCTTGGAGACATTGTAAATTTGCCGGAGTATGGGAGATTGTAGATGAAGAGGTTTGTGCTCTAAATCCATGAAATAAATTACCATGGAATTTTGAATATTGTGGAAGTTTTGACGTTGCAGAATTTTAAAGGAGTTTTCATAGTTAGCCGCCAGAAATTGTTGGAAACTTTCCATGGTATTGGTAATGTTGGGAGGTAAATGAAATTGCTTGTACCTGGTTTTTGCTAGCAAACTGTGTCGTTGTTTTCGCCCTTCCTGGCCCATGTTGTCCTTCACGAAGGCAATGACTTTTTCCGTTTTATAACTTCTTCCGCTGTAGTGCAGGAAATTCTCCTTATCATCGTGGGCTATGTAAATCAGCTGGGGATAACGATAGCCACTGAACTCAAAGGGTACATAATTTCGCAGGCCATTTAGATAATATGTTTCGATTCCATATTCGGCACACTCTCGGGCAATTTCTTCATAATTGTAACCTCGACCATTGTAGGGTTCAGCGAAATCTTGTAATTCGATGATAAGTAAAATATTCTCTTTTGAATCGGCCACCAATTGTTGGTAATTGTTGTAGACACAAATCTTTAAAAACGTATCTTTATTTCTTATCTCCCTTGGGGGCTGGGATGGAAACAATTTCTCCTCTATTAGGGACTTGCAAACAAGCTGTAGATTCTGTAAACTCTTCTCGTTACACTCTCGATATTCAAAACGTCGCACACGTTGCCTCGCATCTATGGCAAAGATTTGTAAAGCCTCCATTTCGGGTTTATTTAGGGATAAGAAAAAATCCGCTGGATTCTTGTACGGATACATGACATCCAAGTCCATTTGATCACCAACAAAGAATTCAATTTCCCACTTATATATCTGGGCCACCCTAAAGATCAGATCCAACCATTTGCGATGATAAAAACACTTTTCCCGAAAGTGATTGAATGCCAGCACTCTTCGAGTGGATAATTCTTTAAACACCGAACGATCCAATATTTTGATTAGATTGGGACAGTGTTCTCCAAGGTATGCATTTAAATCGACAAAATTTTCTTCCACGGAAGGCTCGTCAGCAGTTGACGTTGGTGATTTATGGTCGGGCTTTTTGTTTTCATCTTCCATACAGATTTGATTAAGGCGAATCAGTTCTTCTTCCATTTAAACATGAATTTCTTTGCACGGAACGAACAGCAGTTTGTTGTCTTCTTGGTCGGCTTTAAATGAGTACTGAAGCGCGTCATTAGCAAATTTGCGGAAAAAAACTCTCTTAATAAAAAGAAGAGAAGAGTAATAAGAAATGAATTTTGCATTCTGTTGTGAAATTCTGAATTGACTTCACAAGCCGAACAGGTTGTGCCCTGCGATTTTAAGGAGAAAAAATTGTTGGAATTTTGGAGTATATTAGATATTTAAAAAAATATTTTTTTTTTAATATTTAAGAAACAAAAAGATCGTGTTTACTTGCCAAAGAGGTCAGCTGAAAATGTGCAACTACGTTTGGCCACCAGAACTCAAGCGCCGGCCATGGTGATGGTGTGGGCCGCCACAACAGCCGATGGTCGCTCTCCGCTCATATTTATCGACCCTGCACCATTTGAAAGCAATTTGCAAAATGGTAGGACCGTATAAAAATGTGTATTCGAAAAAATTTAAAAGTCTTGACTTTTAAGATGATTGGTTAAATTTTTTAAAATATTTATTAAATTTAAAATAGCTATTGTGACAAATGCTAAGTTCTTAAATTTTTCAAAAAAGGGTTTTTCGTAATCATATTTAATAAAAAGTCTGAATTTTACTGAAATGAAATGAAAAAAATTTTAGTGAACATCGATTTAGATTGCAAAGATTTAGTATGCACAGGTTGCCAGTAACGTATACACATCCAAAGAGCAAACACAGGCAGAGAAAAGCCCCCCTCCCCCCCTCATGTTAAATAAACAGCAGAGCATTGCAATATGGAGCAAGAGAACACATCGACCAAACACGACTGCACAGAGAACGCATTTCAAGGGAGCCCATTA